TACTGAAAGTCTTTTTCACGTATCACTTATGGAAGGTTAGGTAATTAATATGATCCACTTAAAATTTTATTATATACAATTTTTCGATTGGTCAAAAACTATAGGTTTACTTTCAAAGTATATTATATCTTGACAGTTAAGCATTTGTATATAATAAAACGTTGAGTGGGTCATATTAATTAGTTTACATTCCACAAATGATACGTGAAAAAGACTTTCAGCAACTTCTATAGTATATAAAAAATGTCAAGGGAAGCGTTCCATATAATCTTAGCTACTGAAGACAAATTGCGGAATACCTTAAGTTACGACAACCTACATCTAATCTCCATGTTCTGTTTGAGCAAGAGAATCTCAATACATATGCTTCTTTATACAAAGAAGAATTTCGAGATGAATAATCAAATCAGCTTTTTGTTCAACGGAATTGAATAAACTAAGAATTGAAATTTTGATTAAAATCAAGCAAAAGTTGAGTTTTTATGTTGATTGAAATCGATTAGAAATCAGTTTTAATCATGATTATTAATTGGATTTTTCTGCAAAAAAATCGAAATTATAATTAGTTATAATCGAATTTTTCGTTAATTTTAGTCGAACGAAAATTGATTATAATTTGATTACAATCGATTTTAATTTTAATTTTGTTACAGAAAAATCAGATTTATGATTATGATTATTCTTATAGGATTTTGAAATTTTAATTAATTTTAATCAAGTAAATTTTTCACTAGGAAGCTTGGATATTTATTGGATAAATAGTTCTATGAAATGTGTTTTCGTATTAACAATATATTGGTATACATATTTAAACAGAAGAAACTTCTGTTTGATTATGAGTCTCTTTTATAATATTATCCATTATACTGAACTAAGACTGATTAGCAGTGATTAATAGTGATTAATAATGATTAATAGTGATTAGGAGTGATTAGGGTTGATTAAGGGTGATTAGGAATGATTAGGGATGATTAGGCATGATTAAGGATGATTAGGGATGATTAATGGTGATTAGTAGTGATTAGGGATGATTAAGAGTGATTAGCGATTTCCTAATCAGCTGTTTCCCCCTTGATATAATGAAATATCAAACGTTTTCGTCTTGTAGCAACAAGATGAGAATGAAAGATAAGAATATGTCGTTCAAATGATGCAAAAACTAGTAAAACTGCAATGGTATAATAGAAACCCCAATCAATAAACCACCAGATAAGACATAATATAGGCGTGGATGGATACACAATACCTGTATGAAAATATTGTAGATGAAATGGTATATCAATCCATTCAATAGCAGATGCTAGAAAAAGTAGAATAATTGGTATGTGATTATGAAGAGCATTCCTCGCTTGCCGTTCTGATAATAAATGATAAAGTACAAAAATAGTGCATATAATAGCGCCAACATCAAATATAAGAAATAACCAAAAGCTCAAGATAGGTTTAACTTCGAAATCCGAATCAGTTGAATACCAAGTCAATGTACTATTGTCCCATGATGAATTCATTTAATATATCGTATCTGTTTGTATACTCAACGTACGGTTTCTAATGAACGAGATAATAATGTAAAATAATTAATGAAATTTATAAATAAAAAAAGAACGGATTTATGCACGGTTTGATATAAATGACTTTGATAAAATAAATGTTTAAAATATATCCTTTGTTTCTTTTCATAATGAGAAAAACGTGATTTTAGTGCATCGAAGTTCAGCATCGATGCCAGACAAAATTAATTTGCTTACTCTTATTAAAATTATAAATACTATATGTTAGTATACACAGTAAACCAGTACTCCTACGTTTCATCCTGAATTATAACTATTCATTTTCCGTATAAAAATACTATATAAAATTTATTTGGACAAATTCAAGCATGCCTAATCAAGTGCGGATGTCTCGTCTCTTACCCTCCTCACACCCGCACTCAAATGTAGATTTTACAAGACCATCGACTCCTATAGTTTTGAACATATTCAGAAAAGTCTGACTAATAGAATACAAAAAATATTTTAATAATAACCATTATTTATATATCTACATTCGTTCAATGTTTTTTTGAACTTCGCCAAAATATTTATTTAATCTATATTTTAACAATAAAGCACATAATCACAATTTATCTGCTCGAATATAAATAAGATTCACTATATAATCACGATCGCATTGGTACTTTAGGCATTTTCCATTCCATTTGTCGAAAAATTGATTTTAATTGTGGACTTCCTAATGTCAATATTGGTGAATATGGTTGTGGATTACTTCGCACCCACCAATTTTTATCTCCACTATTTAAACTTGTAAATTTATAACGATATAAATCTGCTTTAATAAATCGAGGTGGTACGTCTGGAAATGGATTTCCTCCAACAGATAAAACAACATTTACAGGTGAATATTGATCTGATGCAAGTAAATGTGTCATTAAATGAACAAGCCAAGGATTATATTGTAAATTTTGCATTGCTGCAAACCTTAAAAATAAATAAATTCATATAAAATACAAAAACAAATTCATTCAAACCATAATTGCCATGTTAATCTTCGATGATAAGGTGCACTAAAACAAGGTGCTCTATCAATTTTACCAGGTTTACAACTAAATTCATATTCTAACCAAGCATTATCATGATTACATTGTTCAATTGATGATCTATTACAACCACTTATAATAACTTCATCACGAATTTTTCCTACACTACCAAATGCTCCATATGTATTAACAAGGTTTAATCGATCAAAACTTGAATTCATTCGTTGATAACGTGAAAATAAATTCAATACAGGATCAATACTTAAATAAATTATTAAACTAAATATAATTAATTTTATTATTGATCGTAAATATTTTATTCGTTGTCGAATTCCATTAAAATTTATATTCATAAAAATTTCTCGTTTAAATAGATATCTATATAATGGATAGGAATCATCAAAACACCATAATGCCGGTCCGATAGTAATCCAATTAAGAACACTTAGATTTCCACTAATAATTAATAGAATTTGAAAAAATACTTGTAATGTTCCAGCAATATGTCGAGCAATACGCCATGGACCAAAACAGAAAAATGGAACAATTAATTCAATAAAATGATTAACGAGAACTTCAAATTTATGAAATGATGCTGGATTTTGATGAAGATAATACGAAATTGGATTTGGTATTGGTTGAGTTTCATAATGATAGTCCATACAAGTTACTAGAAATATCAAAGCCATTAGAATTAGTATGATATTTAATGTGTTACGAAAAACTTCTTAGAAAGAAAAGTATGATTTGCATATATCTGAAAGTGTCAATATATCGAATTGAATTACTTACAATCTCTCCAACA